TACACTTTAATTAGGTAACTGAAATGTGAGTCTACCTAATTAAAGTGTACTTTTATGACACTCCACTGAGTTTGCTCCTATTTTCCACCCGAGAGATACGGGGACCGTGTCTCTTTGAGGGATTTGACCTTGGAAAGAAAAAGGGACCCCACTGTCTATTCCTGGGAGGAAGACGCACCTCGCAGCAGGAAGGCTACCTTGGGGATTTAAGTATTTTATATGTCCTCTATTTAAACAACAAGAGGGTAATTGCAACCATATCCCTTTAAAGAGTGTGGCACTGCTTTGACACTTATGTCACGGTTGTTAATATTTAGATTACACTGTGTGGTTCTATTCTCACTTATGCAGTGTTCTCTCACTAAGAGCACAGGATTGAGGTGATTTCACCATCACTTATTCGTTTATCTATCCTGATCACTGATGTGATTGCATGATATCATTTCACAATAATATGTATTAAGGATAATGCACTATATTGGAAGGGGACTGATCCCCTTCAGTTTTTGCTTTTAGTGGTAGGATTGGATTGGAAGTAGAAGGGTGTAAATGAACACAAGTCTATTTATTCCCATTGGTTCATAGGAGTGAATGGAGGATCCTATCAGGTTTGCTTGGAAAACTGAAAGGCGGACCTGATCAGACACTTTGTCTGAAAAGGGCCTTTGAGTTGAACTGGAAGCATAAACCAATTATTTTCCATCTGTAAACAGTGAATTTCCCCATCCCTCAGGTTTGAAGTCCAGCTGGGAGACAACAATGGCCCCATTAATTGACACAATGAAGGAGTGAGTGTATTCACCTTGGGACAGAAAGTGTGCTAATCACAGGATTGTCAGGTGACAGTAAAAAAAAGAAAAAAGCTTGAAAAAGTTAGACTAACAACCCAACTGGAGTGTATGGACAGGCCACCTGACAGGTTGGCCAATGATTACAGACCTTCTACACTCAGGGCCTTGTACACTCATCACAGGCCTTTGTAAATCTGTAGACTTTCATATGTGCGCCGGTCACTTTTAACCAATGTTCTGCCCATTTCTTCGTTTCTCCAGTAGATTATACAATAATACCGTTTTCCCTGCCCCCACCCTTCCTGAATGTGTGTCCATTCCCTCCTTCTGTAACACCTAGTGAAAATGTTTCTTTTTTAATCATGAATTATTTTTTGTTGCTTATACTGGAAGTATCTTCATTTCATCTATCGCAAACTCATTCAGTCCTCTTACACTTGAACATGTCTTTAAGACACCTGTGCTTGATTTTGCCTTCATTGCTCCTGTACTTCATTGAAGGAACGTCCTCTGCCACGTTATTTTGAACATGACATCCTTTCATTTTGTAGAAAAAAAAAAAACAAAAACAAACACACACAATCTCCTTCTCCTTTACATAAAAAAAACTCAGTTCTCACCCTCCACTCCCTGTTCACCTCTGTCATGTGTAAACACAGAAGCCCGGCTTTTGTGCTTACAAGGACAGCTTGCCTCTCCTTAGTGACTCCACAGATCCCTCCCTGCCGTATACTCACAGCATAGACAAGGAAGATGCAGGTGCTAGTGCAGTGTGGTCATGTACAGGAGGTGGCATTACGTGGTAGGCTGCACCCTCTATGTTCAACATCTGTTCCCAAGTGCTTGGATACCAGCGCCCACAGATGATATTGATTCATATAATAGTGGTAGAGGCACCCGCAGTGTGGGAAATTTTTTTAACGATAAAATGCGTGGAAGCTATGAAGGAGTGGGGGGAGGGGTAAGATGAGGGCAGAGAAGAGAGGGTGTGAAGAGTTGAGGGATGGGAGGAGTGATGCAGAGGTCAGAGCTGAGGTGGTGTGAAAATGAGAAATTAATGGGGGGTGCAGAGGTAAGGCCTGTGAAAGAGAGCTGAACCCTGCACTCTGTTTGTGGTGTACCCTAAACCCTGCACCCTGTACATAGCGCATCCCTGCACTCTGTGCATAGCGCACTCCTGAACTCTGTACATAGCAAACCCATGTTCTCTACACCCTGTATGTAGTGTACTCCTGATCCCTGCACCCAGTATACCCCTGAACCCTACACTCTGTACATAGCGCACCCTGAGCCCTGCACTCTGTACATAGTGCACCATTGAATCCTGCACTCTGTACATAGTGCACCCCTGAACCCTATACTTGGCGCACCTCTGAATCCTGCACTCTGTGTGTAGAGCACCCTTGAAATTTGCCCTCTGTACATAGTGCACTCCTGAATTTGCACTCTGTACATAATACACCCCTGAACCCTGCATTCTGTATGTAGTGCACTCCTGAACTCTGCAGTCTGTGTGTTGTGCACTCCTGAACTCTGCACTCTGGGTGTAACACACTCCTAGTATTTAATGCCCCTTTAAAACCCTCCCACTGCAGTTTGTCCACACCCATTATTTGATGCCGTTTGGCAGAAGGGGAGCCATGGTTGCATTCCTGCACATATTCTTTGTGAAAAAACCGCCGTGGTCCCAATTAAAATGTACAGTTGGTTGTTTTATGTGGCCTTTGTACCCATGTTACCCTCTCATTGTACAGTGCTTTAGAATGTTTTGCCACCTTACAGAGCACCAACACATTACTTTACTAAGACAATCACCTTGAGTGACATCAACAAAAAGGTAAAGACCAAACAGAAAAGGTGTCATGTGGTTTCTCCTGATAGAGAGGATCAGAGTGCAGGCATGTACGTAGGGCCACTAGAATAAAGAGTAAGAGTTTGCTCCCTAGAGGGCAGGTTGGAAGCCGCCAGCCATTTTAGTAGTTTGCCATACTTTGGTTCCTAGGCACTTAACTTCTTCACACCTGGAACGAACAGACACCAATGTTCCATGTTCACCTTCTCAAGATGAATAAACAGCAAAGCATGCCTCGTTCCCCTGCCATAATCCCGTATCCCTCCCTGGACACAACTCTTGCACATACTAGTATTTGATATCACTAATTTGCTTTGCCACAAAGGCTTGCACCACAGCAAGCCACAGCTTTAAATGAATGCAAGGCCTTGCTATCATGACCACCCAGGCCAGGTCTCCAGATTAACCCTGTGCCACAGCGGGTCCCAAAAGGAGTATCCCACCACGAGCTGAAAGACATAAAGCGCACCTGTCATCCTACTGAACAGGATCACCGTCTCCTACCACAGTCACCCATTTCCTCTTCAGATTGGCTGCCATCACTTGAGATTGTATCCCTACCTTTAAGATTAAAGTGTGTGTTCTCCAAATGTACTCAACCACAGAGAGTACCTCGTCCAAATGTTCTTTCTGCAGCTAAATAGTAATTAAAGAAACACTACACCATAAATACAGTAACATGGCATAATAGGCAACAACTAACAAGAACAATGAGCACCTGCTTACAGGCACAGCTAAATATCAGGACCTAAAGGCAGCAACCATCTGAACAGAGGCACAGTGCTGGTCATGCAACCATCACCAACTTCTTACAAAACAATAGGTTTTCCCAACCAGTGTTTACCATACCTCCAACTTTCTGAAATTATAAAAACACCTTTTAGCACACAGTATGTAGATAAACAGCATGTTTCTGCCACAACCCTGGTTACAAGGACCACAAAGACCTAATATACAAAAAATGATTGGCTAAACCACACAACCTCTTTTTTAACCTCTATTTTTCTTTTATGTCGGATTTCCAAAATAACACATGCAGTAATAAGGAAGCTGGATAAAAAGTTTATTGCAGCATTTTTTTGGTAGTAAAATAGTACGTTTTGAATAGAGATGTACATCAGACCAAAATAGGGGCAACTGAGGCTGCATGAGGGACAAAGGGATTCGGTCTCCAAATAAGGGACATTTGGGAGCTATGTTGTTTACCATTTGTTAGACTCACTCAAGGTGGTTATTTTATTAATGTTACATTAAAGTGGAGCTCCACCCAAAAGGGGAAGTTCCCCTTTAAGGACTGCTCCCCTGCTCCCCATTAAAGGATTGGCAGCTTTGGAGGGCAGGGGGGAGCGGGTACCCGAATTTGACAGGTACCCGCTCCCACTTCTGGTCTGTTCACCTAGGCAATCGGAAACGGAAGGTGTCCTCCCTCTCTCCCTTCCTGTAGTCTTTTGGGACACATGATAGGTCCCAGACTACAGGACCATTCACAAAGCGCAGCGCTACTCGCGCATGCGCAGTGGGTACCCGGCTGTGAAGCCGCAAGCAGTCACAGCCAGGTGCCCACACTGCAGATGCCGGCCTCCTGGAATCCAGGACGACCGGTGAAACGGGCTGCGGGGGACACATCACGGGACCAAGGGACAGGTAAGTGGCTGTTTTTTAAAAGTCAGCAGCTACAGTTTTTGTAGCTGCTGACTTTTATTTTTTTGACAGGGTGAGAGGAACTCCACTTTAAGTATTAGAATGCTTAAGCAGCTGCTTATGATATTCAGAACTACCAATCAGATCCCATTCTTTATTATCTTACTACTATTATTATACAGGATTTATATAGCGCCAACAGTTTGCTCAGCACTTTACAAAATAAAGGGAGACAATACAGCAACAATACAGTTCAATACAAGAAGGTTAGGAGGGCCCTGTCCTTGGAGCTTACACTCTAAGTAAAGAAACACGATCCTCTTGCTATGGGCAATACACACAATTCTACTTTCAAACACAATTATTCCATCTCACCTGAAGAGTCATCTTTCTTTGTGTACATTCCAATGAACATACATCCAATGCCCTCAATTAAATATTCTCTTCCCTACTCCACCCTTCCCCCTCTCCTCTCTGCATGTTATGTGGAGTGTCCTCTCTGTGTGTGAACAACCTCCCCCTTTTCTGTGCTTCCACCTCTTCTCCATCTGTCTCATGTTCATATTTCCATATCAGCCTAGGATCTGTTTAATTACAATTATTTTTTACAGTATTTTTCTTTCCATTTCTATTTGTTATATTCAGTCTTTATTCATCTAAATACACATACATAGATACATATACAGATATTTCTTACAATTTCAAGATTTACTCACCCATCTTTGGATAAGGCGTGTCTAAAGAAGTCATTTGCTGCTAATTTGATTGCCTTCTCCGGCGTAACAAGGGTTAAATTTACAGCAGCACCTGCAGAGAAAAGAAAAGAACAAATCAAACCTGGGAGAAGCTGAAAATATTGCAACACCACATGGCTGTGCGGAATAGGAAATTCAAGAAAGCAGCAACATCAAATGAAATACATTATTATTATTCAGGATTTATATAGCGCCAACAGGTTGCGCAACGCTTTACAAAATGAAGGCAGACATTAAAGTTACAATACAATTTGGTACAAGAGGAAACAGAGGGCCCTGCTTGTTAGAGCTTACAATACATACTTGTGAAATGTTTGAACTACCTTCAAACTGTGAGCCCTGGTTCACACATATGTGTGCTGAAATCGCATTGCAATTTATGCATGCGTTTCTGTGTGCATAGCATTCCAGTTTGAGTGTGATTTCACCAGAGGTACGATTTTGGCTTTTGCATTTTCATTGACTTTAATGCACAATCATCTTCTATTGACTTCAATGCAAAATCATCTTCTATTGACTTCAATGCAAAATCATCTTCTATTGACTTCAACGCAAAATCACCTTCTATTGACTTCAATGCAAAAACGCCTTCCATTCACTTCAATGCATAAACACCTGTTGCAATCCTATGTAAACACTGACCTTTGCATGCCACTGTACACTATCACTTGTGAGTCTGGAAATGCACCGCTCCACACTCTCACAGGCCCCTTTTTTGGACTCAAAACGCAATGCCTGTGGATCGCATCAGTGTGAACCACATCAATAGGTTCTAGCCTGTCAGAAAATGCATCCAGAACCATATATGTATGAACCAGGGCTAAAGGGTAAGTACATCTGAAAGGTTTTTTTGCTGTCTGTACTCCTGCTGGGGAGGTTTTCTCTCGCTTCCTGTTGTGTCAACAAGAAAGGAAATGAAGAGAACCTTTACAACTGGGACCCCTTTTCTCATGCCTCGAGGTGTGTTTTGTTAAAGTTGTGGTAAAGTCTAAAGGATTTTTACCTTAGTGCATTCTTGATTCTGTGCTGTACCTAAGAGCTGGCCTCTCTCCTCACTGGGCACTGAGGCAGCAGAGGGAGCCATTAACTTCTGCTGCTGTCAATCAAACCATGTGGGGAGGGAGCAAACAGTGAGGCCGAGCCGAGCCAAGCTGTGTGTCTGAATAGATGCACACAGCCTGGGTTCTGAGTGAGCGTGCACCAGTGTCCGGAGCATTGAGAGCGCCAGCAGGGGACCTGAGAAGAGGAGGCTGGATGTGTACCTAAAACAGGATGTAGATGAATCTTTTTTTTTTTCCCAGGGGGTTGAATGAAAAAAAATTACTTGATTTTCCCATCCACACACTTGATGTGGATGGGGGAATTACTCCTGCTGAGATTTTGTATTCTGGCAGTGGGGAAACTTCCCCTGGCTATAGCTGGCAGCGCTGATCAAGCAGAAATTTTCCAACAGGTGGGTTGTGCAGATGTTGATAGGTAAATAATTTTATGCACAACCAGTGTGCCCATGCACTGGTCGAAATTCGTCCAATCCTTGCTGAACCAGACAAATTTCGATCCATGTATTGCCGGCTTTAAACCTACCTTGGCCCCAGCCTCTGCTGCTTTCAACAGGCACAGGTGACATTATTTGCCTCCCGGCAGAGCTGTAAGCTTGAACTTCTGCCAGAATGTATAAAGGAAACAAAAAGAGGGCGCATGGGCCTCTTGCATTACCTTTAAAAATGAGATTTATTTATAAACAGTAAAATACTCACAAGAGAAATAAAATCAAATGGAAAGCATGTCACAAGGGATGCAATGTGGTCCAAAACCCCTGAAGGAGGTCAGGGGTTTTGGACCACATTGCATCCCTTGTGACATGCTTTCCATTTGATTTTATTTCTCTTGTGAGTATTTTACTGTTTATAAATAAATCTAATTTGTAAAGGTAATGCACTAGGCCTGTGCGCCCTCTATTTGCTTTCTATATACAGTTCTCTTTCGATTTCTCTGGTTCGTTGAGGGCAGCAAGGCTTGCATTCCTTTCCTACTCATGTGGGGATATTGACATTGTTGAGTCCACTGTCCAGCGCAGGAGCACATGCATTGTTTGCTTTTTTCTTCTTTCCAGATCTGCTAGAATGTACCCTAGTCCATACGGGGACAATCGAAAGAGTAGACAACATGATTTGGGAGTGCAAAACCATCCTCTTCATAAGGGTTTAGGTTTAAAAGCAATGTAAATTGACTAGAGGTGAACTGGATCTTTAACTCCCTCAGTGGGATCACTAGGATGGGTTCTGTCAGCAGTTGGTATGACAGCCAAATAACAGACATAAAGTTGTATCTGGACCTTTCAGCCCTGTCATGCCGCTTCAGTTTACATTTCTGTTACAGAGACATTTAATAACAGTCTCTGGATCTGTACTTTTGACGACAAGCTGCATATCTGACCTTTTAGTGTCTGTGGCACATTTAACTTGGCCATGAACACAATTACTGTCAATAAAGTAATTCAAATTATTAGTACAGACAGAATCTACATAGCATGTTTACAGCCTTCAGTTACTTGCACATTGTGAAAAAATGCATACAAAACTTTTCAAAATCTTTTCTCTTCTTCAATACTGGACCAGAGCAGTGAGTTATGATCGTCACTTCCAGTGGTGTTGCCACTTGCTACAGGACTTTAGATCTCAGAATCCCTTTCCCCAAATGCCTACTGCTGTAGCTGTAATGGATGGCACCTCTGTTGCCATCTCCTGGCCTTTGCTGTCAAGCTGGCTGTCTGTTGTCCTACTACTACAGGAGTGTATACAGATTTTGCATTAGAAGACAGTGGGTGATCGTTGTCACCCTACAACAGGAAGTGCCATTGCAATAAGAATGACTAGCAGGATCAACAGGTAGCAATTCTGGATACTGCCATATCCAAAGTAATACTGAAAATGCTACAGATCATTGAAGAAATTTGGGAATAGATATATTAAAAATTATTATTTTACATTCACTTTAATGAGCTTTTACTAATAACTGACAGAGGATCCTATATTTGAAGGTTTTTAGGTTTACATAGCGATGCTGATTTACTAAAGGATTTGAGAAACTTCACGCAATAAATATTAACTTCAGTTATCCATTCGTGTAAAAAGCAAATTCCTCCATACTCATTTAATGTGCACATGATTGGGTATGCAAAGTGAACATGTGAAAAAAGAAAATATCCTGCGCTAAGCCCAATGTGATAAAAAAAACAAATAAGTAAATGAAAATGTGTGTGAATGAATATAAAGTGAACTGCTGCTACTAACCTCCTGAATACCAGAATTAAATAATTGCAACACATGTAAAAGTGCGCTGTTCACTTAATGCAAAGTTAACATGAATTTGCTTTTCACGTGATTGGATAACTGAAATTAATATTTACTCAAATCCTGAATGAAGATTCTTAAAGTGATTGTAAAGGATTGATTTTTGTCTTTTTCACATAACAAACATACTTACCTGCTCTGTGTAATGGTTTTGCACAGAGCACAGATCTTCCTCTTCTCAGGTCTCCCGCCGATGCTCCTGGTTGCTCTCCCTCCCCTCCCCCATGTCCCCCACAGCAAGTCGTTTGCTATGGGGGCACTCATGCGTGCTCACTCCTAAACTGGCTGTGTGTGTCAATGGACACACAGACCACAGCTCGGCCCTGTGCCCTCATCCCTCCTCACGGACTGTGACTGACAGCAGCAGGAGCCAATTGCCAATGTCTCTGAGCCAATGAGGAGGGAGCGCAGTGGTGGATTAAGATCAGGGTCAGGTAAGTATAATGACAGGCTGGGGGGAGCTGCATGCAGAAGGTTTTTTTACCCAAATGCATACAATGCATTAAGGTAAAAAAAACCTTCTGCCTTTAGAACCATTTTAATATTTTTAGTATGTTATCCTTACAGCCTAAAAAAAAAAAAATGTTGCTATGCTAATTACACCTTTACTTCAGCTTGGCAATTATAACGTTAAAAAGACTGAAATGAATGTACAATTAATGTGTAAAGCATGGTGTCAATTGATGGTGATATATAAGTAACTGTAATAAAAAAAAAAACAAACAAATTAGGCAAATAAATACAGTTAAAACCCAACAAGATTTAACTTTTACAAAAGTGCTAGATCCCTAACATGGTTTAAAATCTGAATGTCTATAAACAGGTAAACAAGAGGAATCTCCATATTTCTGACTCTCTCGCTCTATATCAATGGTCCAAGTGCATAATAACATTGAATATAAGATTGTTTTTTCATATAGGTGAAAATAGGAGCACAAAAAGGAATTTACAAATTTTTACTGCGGCGTTTTACTGCGTTTTGCGACTTTTTCAGCGTTAGTGGATTTTTACAGCTAAAAAACTCCTCTTGAAACCCAGTAGTCCTGGGGTTTTTTTGCCAGCTAAAAAAATGTCCCAGCCAAAAAACTATGATTATAGTCTATGTGTGCATAGATACATAGGATAACATGCGGGGGGATTATTGGCTTTAGAAAAAAACATCAAAAGCCAAAAACAGCAGCTGTAAAAATGTCAAGTATGCATGAGGGCTTAAGCTAGCCATACACGTGTAGATTTTAGAAAATTCGTATGAAAATTCTTTGAACATTTGGTGATTGGACAAATGTTGTTCGAAAATTTTCTATTGCTGTTAACATTGGAGTTTAAAATGAATGTAATGTTTGAAAGATAACCACATACAGGCCAAAAATTAGTTTGATCGAGAAAAGTTTTCATTCCTTCCCCTTCGAATTCTCCCATAACTGTGGTCGAAAACAAAACATCGATTTGACCCCACTAACGCTTAGAAAATCAAATGAATATTCATTCTTGAAATGAAAATTCTTGAAGAAAATCTATACGTGTATGGCCAGCTTTATAGTCCTTTCCTTTGGTGGGAAACCACTGCCCAGGGTCTACAGTCAAGGAAAATTGGGCATGGCAATAAAAGGGCAACCTTGTCTTGTGTTCTAGAAAGGATAATGGTAAGAAACAAGGAAAGTTAATGGTGGCCCAGCCTTTGCAGCTTCTACCTTTTCACTTGTCTACCACTATAATGGATTGCCTTAATAGCGAAAAGAAAAGTGCATTACATGGTAAACCACCCTCAAAACAATAGAGAGTTTAAGAATTACCCAACAATATGTTTGAAGGTTTGTACAACCATATGTAAGTGTCTGTCATTTATTACTTTAGCCACTAAAAAACCCCTGAAGACCTTATACTTGTACCTAAAAAGCTGCATTGTAAAAGTTCCTCTGTAAAGACTTCTGACAGTTCCTGTAAACTATGGTAATCTTCCTGAAGATCCTAATTCTCATTCCAGTTTCACCCTGGGTATTCCTTGAATACCCTTGTTTGCCACCTGCCCTTACAATTTTCCTGGTCTCTGAATAAGCTTAGATACCACCTACGCTGATGTTCTCTCAGGTCCTTGACTATAACTCTGCCTTACAATCTGATATTACTTCTCATCTGTTGCCTATATGTCAACAATTACTAGTATGGCCTACCTAAAGGACAGAACCTGAAAACTGCATGCAGCTCTCTCTGTGGTGGACAATTGTAAAGACAGGGCAACCCTCATACCTATGGCACTGTAGGATAAACCTACATATGGCACTGGTGACATGGACAGCATTAACCTTGTCACAATCAGGCTTGTCTGGGCCATAGTGACTAACCAGATGTATCTTCTTTCTGCATACAGATACCTTAAAAGTGATTATCTAGTCTTTTTGGTACTTGAAAAGTTCAAAAGGTATTTGCCACGTCAACTAATATAGCCACATTATCATTTCTAATCCTAAGCCGTTGTAACTGAACTGTAACTGAATAATAACTTGGAATCAAGCGATTAAAAGTAATTATTCAAGCTGTGTAAAACAAAAAAAATAAAGTTTAGGCAAACTTTAACCACATTATGTCAGCACAAAAAGAACAAGTTATATATATATAAACTTACAAATGCAAAAACAGCAAATAAGAAAATATGAAAAGGGATCATTTCAAGCTTCTCTGAAATCATACTTATAAAAAGCATTGCCCTGAATCATTTAAGGGCTGCAAGCAAAGGATGTAGTTTAATTTAAGTAATAGAAAGCATGGGGGCTTTCACACGTGTAATTATTTACCCTCACAGAGTACACCATAAATCTAACCTCACCTTCTTTCAGATAAGTGAAAAAAAACTAAAGTTAACAGGAACAGCCTTGAAACAGAAGGACTTTATGCCCCTGACGGCTGTAGATCTCTGCGGTTCAAGAAATATAAATATTTGATCAAGACCTGTCATCCTTGGCAAACTGGGCTAACTCCTTTAAGTGATTTCCACAGCTAATGTGAACCAGACATAACATTGAAGTTATGGAAACTGTAGCGAGACAAAACTTCTATTAGCTTTGCATTGATAAATGATGTGGAGACCTAATATTTTCCTCCTGGATCAATACTCTTAGCTGTCCAGCCTTTGAGAAACATATATGATTTATATTTGTAGGGAGACTATTAGAGGAATTAGCACTGATGAGGCATGTGTGCACAATTATTTTTGCACAGTGAAGTTTTTCATTTGCCCATATATTTTTTAGGGCTGCATTCAAATCACACTGCCCCTGTGATCTGCCGTGGATGTCAGTGCAAAGTTAACAACACCCCAAACGCAAGTCACAAATGCAGTGTGTTTGCCCGCACCGGATCGCAGGGTACAAAAGTTTAGAGGAACATATTAAGTTTTGTCTTCCAAATTAAACATAGAATGTTACTAATTGTTGCAGGTTACAGTCCCATTTTTAATACAATATTTGTTTTTACCTAGAAGGTGTAAGGCAGTGGTGGTCACGTTTCTTGATATGGGGGCCTCAGATGTGGCCCCCAATATCACCAAAGGACCTGCACTTAAATTTCAAGTGAATATTCATTATCAGATACAACAAACACACAACAGAATATAGTCAAAGACTATGAGCATGATACAAGAGATGATCAGAGACCGCGGACATGATACAAGGGATGGTCAGAGACTGCGGACATGATACAAGGGATGGTCAGAGACTGCGGACATGATACAAGAGATGGTCAGAGACTGCGGACATGATACAAGAGACTGCAGACATGATACAAGGGATGAATCTCAGAACATGCTATATGAGTTGTTGGAGACTGTGGACATGCTTCAGGATACAGTCATAGACTGGAGACATATTACATGAGGCAGCTAGAGATCACTGCTAGTCCAGGGCAATAGGGACACATGGGTTAGTATCTGCAAGGGCCCCAAGTGGCCGCACAAAAAGTGACAAAGGGCCACAGGTTGGGCAACAGGGGTCTAAGGTCTTAGTGCACCCTCCCTTTAAGGGGCTCATTTGCTCCCAATCTTCCATATTGTGCCGCAGTGTGACATCAGCAACACTAACAGTCAGGGATGGAGCAGAGAGGCAGTGGAGCAAAGCATGGCCTGCACAGCTAGCAACAGCTCAGAGCATCAGCCCTTCTAGAGAGAGCACCTATCTAGGAAAATAAAGTGATATTATATATGAATGGGAAAGTTTGTATTAGCATGTGAAGAGGAGAACAAAAAAACATCAGCAATAAGGAGAACAGGTGTGGAGGCACTGGATCCTGCCGGGAGATTTTGGACGTGGGAGTAAATGAGCATTAAGTTAACAACACCCCGAAAGTGGTCCGCAAAACCCGGTTCGATGTGCAGAATCGGATCGCATATGTGTGAATACCCATGCAATCCGATTCTAGTGCGGACCCAAAAAAGGGTCCTGCACCTTTTTGGGGCGGGTGCGGTGAAACTAGAGCCATACAAAATGTATAGCTCCAATCGCACCACACACAAATCGCATGTGATTTGCACAGGAATGCAGTGCGGTTCCTGTGTGAATCACATGTGATATACCGCACCGCATGTATGTGAACCCAGGCTTAGACCTATTACATCTATAGGTCAAACAAAGTAAGTGTGAAAGGTGGAAGGACACATGGGAGATCACAATTGTATGGTGTGGAGCCCAAAGCACTGATGTATAAAGTGGACGACTTTAGGTTTGGACTTATATATCACTATACACATGATGATGTTATGCTATAAGAAAGATTTTCCAGTATGGAGGATTGTTTGCGAAGGGAAATTTAAGCACAAAGAAAGATTTTTTTAGCATGCAGGTTGAAGTGATGATGGTGTCAGCTTTAGTATATTAAGAGAACACACAGGATAATGTTTTTACATTTTTTAATTGTTTGATGTTTGCATTGCAGAGAGGTTTGGTCAGCTATATGATTTAATTTCTTGAAGACATTGTGGACACCATAGCATCTTCAGCAGTACTGCACTGTATAATTGTATACGTCACAAATAATACATATATCAGAAAGTTTACTTACCTCTGTACATGCCAAAGTATCCCTCTGAGCGTATTGTTTTAATAAGGCAGTCTGACCTGCAAATAAACCAACAATTGTCATTAGCTGCATATTATTCAGTCATTCAGTCATGGTAATTTATATATTTTAATTGCAAAAGTAAATTGGATCTTCTGCATGCTACATGTCACTCTTTGATCAAAAAATATGTTATCCGATTTGTGGGGTAACAGTGAACCAATTCTCTGCACTGAGCCGCTGTCCTGTGTTCCAGTTTAAAAAACAATTCCAGCAACAATTGAAATCAATCAGTGAACTATGTCTATATTCTAATTCTAATTCCATCAAATAAATAACCACTGTTCTTAGATCAGAACGTTCCCTCAATGTACCTGCTTCCGTAATCTGAGTTCTGTTTAATCCCCTGCAGAACAAGCACACACAGTGCTATAATGAGTCAGTAGGAGGGCTGCAGGAGTTGACTCTCCCATGCCTGTACTGTAACATCTTAGTTTCCAATAACACCAATCATGTTATAATTTCTAGTAAATAGTAGATCGAAGGCCATACAATATGCAATTTTAGTTCCTTCAACCACAGGTTGATGATGCGCGCGCCCTGGTAGTTAATTGAGAAGTACAAGTTGTCTGCCACGATGGCAGACAGGACTTGTAGTTTATTCATTCACAGATAGCTGTGAATGAATGATGCGGCTGTGTGGGCAGAGCTCCACTGTATTTAAATTGTGACAGCGGGTGCAGGGAGAGGATGACAGCGGGTGCAGGGAGAGGATCTCCTGACAGCTGTCACGGGGGGGGGATTGTGGGGTGTGAAGCTGATGCATTAGTGACGTTGCATATTACACCCTGAACATGGGTGCAGAAGTGGAAAACCCAGATAGGGGTTAGGGATGGAGTCAATGTCATAAGGACCACATAACGAAATTCTTGGGATAAGCATGCCTTGCTGCCCTCAAAAGACCGGGGGAGTCCAAATATATTGAATAGAGAAAAACAAACAGAGGGCACACCGGCCTAGTGCATTACCTTAAAAGTATGTTTATTAAATGTAAAAATAGGTATTGTACTCACAGATTGTCTATAAAATCAAAAGGCACATCGTGAAGGAACTCTGGACATCCAAATGGCTAACACGTTTTGAGGACTAGCCTCTTCCTTAGAGCCCTCTGAGGAAGAGGCTAGTTCTCGAAACGAGTCAGCCTTTTGGATGTCCAGAGTTCTCATTACAGACAGACACGTAGTGCGAATTGGACAGAGCTGTTCCTTCACGATGTGCCTTTGATTTTTATTCTGAACACGGGTGTAACATATTACTAAAGGCAAACTTTTCCTTTAAAGATTGGGCAAAACCTATGAATCTGCATGTTTCATACCACTATATAAAAGTCTATAAAGAGAATAAAGCAAAAATAGGTTTTAACCTGTCAGGGCAACAAAAAGGTCTAAAATAAGGGTCCCTGCAAAAGAAGAATGCTCATACTCACCTCTCCGATGGCCTATGCCCCTATTTATGAGACTGCTTTCACACTGCTCTGTAGCAAAACCATTTCTGATGCATTTCCTGTGCATTTTGTGGGTGCCCGACTCCCAGAATGCACCAGGGAAACATGGACATGCAACTCAAAAAAATCGCATCAAAAATACAACTACTATGCATTTTGATGCGCTTTTACTGTGTGTTCCATTCATTTCAATGGGCAGCTGCGTTTTAGGTATGGTTTTGAAAAGCGGGATGCAGGATTTTTTCAAAACATTCCATTTTCACAGTGCAGTGGTGTGAAGAGTCCCATGGGATTTAAAGGGATTACGTTTTTGCTGCATTTTTAGTAAGGTAAAAACTGCAAAAATGCACCAGTGTGAAGGCATCCCGAGCCCTTCCAGCCCTGCGGTCTCCATCAGAGTCCCTGGCATTCCTCAATTCACTACTAAGCTGTGTAGCGGCATGTTATTGTAATTTAATGGTAATTTCCAATCTTTTGAAATCTGCAGCTTTTATCAAAAAATTACTAAGTGATCCTTCCATTTTAATTTTCTTTTGCTATTCCTTTAGACTGCCTCGGCGGTTGAAATCTCTTCAAAAATCTCCCTTGAAGAAGCCCGTGGGGCGAAACATGTAGGGAGTAACTACAATTATATAATCAAGTTTGAATCTCAGTTCACTCTTAGTACTGAAATTGTTTTTATGTTTCTGTATTTTTTCCTTTTTTGTTTTTAAAATATTTAAAAAATACGAAATAAAATTATATAACTTTTTAATATGTTTGGTATTCATGTTCATGCATCCTGAAAGTCCCATCTTTTCTACTGAATATTTGATCCTTCCATGAGGGTTCTTATTCAGGCACTTCCTGTTATGGGGTAAAAGCGGTCCCCGTCTCACAATTGTGTTTCAACGTTGTTGCCCCATCACCTGTGCATCTTGTAGAGAATATAGGTTGCCATGCTGACGCTGAATGCGGCATAGTCTGCTGTTGTCACTATCAAGAAATGATATGCACCAGATACTGCCAGAGTACATGCAGGCAGGAAGTGACTGCAGAGAGGTTGCAGGAGACCAGCAGCACTGCCATGCAATATAGAATGAAAATGGTGTAAACAACAATTTTCTAGAAGAACATATAAAAACGGTTTATGATACACAGTCCTTTGGCAAACTAACTCATTCAGTTAGGGTTTACATCTACATACATATACAATTCCAACAAACTGACCTATTTTACATATATCTAAAAAACAACACTGCAAAGACTATACATTCTATTTAATATAGAAATTCAGTATATATATACACAGAATTTACTGTTGACACAAATCAGGAAATCTAATCTGCTCAATGATCCGGCCTAATAGCCGTATTTGTTATCATGTTTCTGTGCAAACTCAGCATCAGCTGTTTTGTGTGGTTTCAGCATCATATGACTTCTTCCAATTCTCAAGGACGTAACGGAGGTCAAAGTCTGGGAGAGGTAAAAAAAAAAACAAAACAAACAAACACTGAGGTTTCCCAGCCTCTCCTCCCATTTCGTCATTCCTAATATACTGTATATCAAGGTCAACTGGATTTTAGAACTGAAAACACAACCATTTACAAACAAGACATAATGCTACATATGCAGGACAGTAGTGAAAACTAACAAATGTATGCAGTCTTAAAGGAGATGTATGGCCAGAGCTCTTTTGGCCACTTCTTCTGTGGGTCACAGGAGTGCACTAAGTTCTGCACTCCTGTGACCCAGATTCAGCCAAAATCTAAAGTCCGCTATCAGCTGATGTGACAGAGCGGTCCAGGCTCTGTGGGGATCCCGATAATAATGTCAGGATCCTCCCAGATGCTTGATTGGCAGCTTGCTCAGCCTCTGAGAGCCCAAGCCAGCCACTTCCGCCCCCTCCACACCCCAGAGTGCCAGTGAGCCCTGGAGGAGCAGAGCACAGAACAGTGACTGATAGCCACCACTCTGTGCTCAGAGCAGATCTGAGAACTGAACAATCAGCAGTTTTTGATCGCTCAGTTCTTGTAGAGCTGGTTAGGGGCAGATCAATGATCTGAGTGAGTATGATTGTTTTGTTTTTCTCCAGTCCCACCCTTCTCTTTTAATAGATAACTGTCTTGACTTCTACATTTCACTTCTGTCATGGGGAAGGTTGTGTTTTAGGCCTCATGCACACTGGATGCTTTAGTTATCTCTCCTAGACCCCTTTCCTCCTGGCAGCAACGTTTTGGCAAAAATAAAAGCTTGACACTTGTAACCGTGTATAACATGTTTAAACATGTTTAGGCACGCCAAGCGCTTAGGCATTAATTTATTTCATTGGACAGAATAGTAATTTATTAAGTGCTAAACGCACCTGGTGTAACACACATTTAGAAGCATTTTCATGGTTTTCTGCCAAAGCATTGCTGCTCCTGGACACACTGGCAGTGCCCTGCCTCTTAATGCCTTTGTGTGCATGGACACATAAACTAACTTGTTTAAAGTCAGAAAAAAAAAACGCTAGATGCCTCTAACAGCAGCATTAACCACTTCCCGTCAGCCCTATACCAGAAACACCAAACATGATTTTGCATTTCTAGGTAGGGGGTGCTTGTGAGCCGCGCAAGTGCCCTACCCACGCTGCCATTCACGGACGTGGCTGTCTATCACCGGGTCCCGGTCGGTGATTTCCAGTGATCTCAACGTGGAGGAGAACTGTTTTGTTTACCAACAGTTCTCCTCCCTGTCAGTTCGGGCACAATGCTTTGGATGACTGTGCACAACACAGCCATCCAAAGCAGTGTGCTTGCAGTGTGCTTACAGTGAAGCACACTGACATGGCCCCCTAATAAAACACTCTCAGCACACAGTTAACCCGTTGATCATCCCTCATGTTAACCCCTTCCTGCCCATTGCCATTAGTACAACGTCAGTGCTTTTTTTTAGCACTGATCATTGTATTGGTGTCACTGGGGATGTCAGTGACACCAAGTCAGTTCCCCCCAGTGTCAGAATGCCCGCCACAGTCCCGCTATAAGTTGCTAATTACCGCCATTACTAGTAAAAATAAAAATATAAAAAATTACTGTATGTATATATATATATATATATATATATATATATATATATATATCGCCATTCATTTACACGTATTGGGATTTTTTTTAGCAAAGACATGCAGCAGAATACATTTTGGCCTAAAGTTATGACGAAATTTGATATTTTTATTTTTTTTTACTGGACATGTTTAATAGCAAAAAGTCAAAAATATAGTTTTTTTCTCAAAATTGTCAGTCTTTTTTTTTAATAGCGCAAAAAATAAAAAATGCACAGGCGATCAAATACCACCGAAAGAAAGCTCAATTTGTGGGAAAAAAAGGACGCAGCATTGTATGACTACGCAATTGTCAGTTAAAGTAACAAAGCACCGTCACACAAAAAGAGCCTGGTCAGGAAGGGGGGTAAATCCTTAGGAGAGCAAGCGGTTAAAAAAAAGTCAGTGTGCATAAGGCATCAGCCAAAAATATTTGTCTGCTATTGGCTTTATGAAATTACAGCATGGAAAGTCCCTAATCAGCGGCTGCAACTCAAGGTATCAGCAAGGGGGGAAAAGCACATTATTGGACATTTGTACTGAGAACGCGCAATTTTTTGTTAGTACAGTCCTGCTACCAGGGGCGGACTGACCATTTGGAAACTCGGGCACTGCCCGAGGGCCCGGGGTCAGCAGGGGGCCCCATGAGATGCCCCTGGTACATTTTTCATAGGCTTTTTGGAGTTTGGGCAAGGACACAGGGGCCCCATGATCTCCTATTGCCCAGGGGCCCCATGATGAGTTGTCAGTCCGCCCCTGCCTGCTACTCAAAATGTTAAATCATATATTCATTTTCACATTGCATTTCAATTATTTCTAGTCTATTCCTATTAATCTGAAAAATCTCGAAGTCTGTAAACTTACTTTGTGAAGATCCCCACATATTTGAATTCTGTGACACATACTCACTATGCCCTGTCAGTAGCACTGCTGTGTCACACATTTCCCAGAGCCTGCCTTCTGAAATGCAGAGATGCTGAGAGGAGGAGTTTCAGGAGGCAGAGTCAGTACAGGAATCACTGCTTGCAGACAGCAAAGTACCATGGGATATGTAGTCCTTAGAAATTGAAAGTAAATAGCAGAGGAGAAGCTGCAAAGCATGGAGGAGTCCTGGAAGTTGTGAAAGGAGATGGCCAGCAGGCAGACAGAACTCACATGAAAGGAGATTTTTCAAGTACGTTTCTATTGGATTGTAAAAAGTAACTATTGTTTGTATTACTATTACAAAGCTGATGGCATAAAATGAAATACTATGACCATAGGTCTTAATATTACCTATAGGGCCTGGTTCACAGTAGTGTGACTTCAGATACGACTTTAGTCGCACAGAATCACACACCATTGGAAATCCTGTTATTTTTAGTGGTGCCCATTCACATCAATGTAGTGCTACTTTGGTGCGGTTGCAGCACAACTTTGGCCCCATAGACTTTAGTTGAAACGCACCAAAAATTTGTGTAAAACACACGTGCATGCGTTTTTAGTGCATTTTTGGTTGAGTTTCTTCCGTCCAAAAAACGCACTGAAAATTGCACTAGGGTGAACCTAACCTAATCAATTGACATAGATCAATTCACATACTGTATAAATGCATAAAGCAGTGATTGCTCACACAAATATCTACACTGTGGTGGGCACTGATAATCAGGTCATTCTAGCAGCAACAATGACTAACAAAGTATTGGTGCGAGACAGCAAAAAAAAAAAAAAAAAACCTTCAGCAAATGTTCTACTTACATGCTCTTGTACATTCGTTGGCCATCTTGCTGGTTTTGCAGACGAGTCTTAGCCAAGTCAATGGGAAAGACACACGTTACACCAATCAGTCCAGCTATTCCTCCATTTATCAGCTTGGCAGGTAAACTGCAGATATAATGATGACAGAGTGAAAGAGAGAAATGCAATGTAATAACTACTGTCTGTCTAACTAATGCTCACATATCAGATTATATGTAAACCCGCACCTTGTAAAACAACCTATTCAGTTTAAAATAGAAATGAAAGGCAAAATATTTGTCTCTAGATATGAAAAAATTATAAATACCCTTTTCCCTCTTTTATAAGTGATCACACACCCTCTGTTCTCAGCTGCATAAGAGCTAGGGGAGGAGAAACAGCATCTACTGGTCTTCCCAGGGAATGGCTGTGCATGTTAGGACAAGTCCAGGGGCGGACTGACCATTCGGGCACTGTCCGAGGGCCTGGGGTCAGTAGGGGGCCCCATGAGATGCCCCTGATACCTTTCACAGGCTTTTTTGAGCGTGGTTTGAGTGTTGGCGAGGACACAGGGGCCCCGTGATTTCCTATTGCCCGTGGGCCCCATGAGTTGTCAGACCGCCCCTGGACAAGTCTGATCATTGGAGGAGAGCACACTATGTTCCCAACACAGCTGGAGAACAGACCACGCTATGCTCTCATTCCTAGTGTGGTCAGTTTTAATAAGAAAGCAGAGGGACTGACAGGAACACCAGGAGTTTCACACAAAGGAAGCAATACAAAGAGAGCAGGATACTTTTTCATTCATATTCTTTAAAGCAGAGTTCCACTCACCTGTCAAAAAATAAAAGTCAGCAGCTACAAAAACTGTAGCTGCTGACTTTTAAAAAAACAGCCACTTACCTGTCCCTCAGTCCCACGGTGTGTTCCCCACAGCCAATTTCACCGGATATCCTGTATTTCAGGAGGCCGACATCTTCAGTGTTGGCACCCGGCTGTGATAGCTTGCGGCTTCACAGCCAGGTACACACTGTGCATGCGCGAGTAGCGCTGCGCTTCATGAATGGTCCTGTAGTCTTCTGGGACCTGTCACATGTCCCAAAAGACTACAGGGAGGGAGAGAGGGAGGACACCTTCCGGACCGGAAGTGGGAGCAGGTACCTGTCAAATTTGAGTACCCGCTGCCCCCCCACCCCTCAAAGGTGCCAATCCTTAATGGGGAGCGGGAGAGCAGTCCTTAAAGCGGAACTTCCCCTTTTGGGTGGAGCTCTGCTTTAGGTATGTCCTGGATTTAAGACTGTCTGTGACCACATTTGTGACATTTCCAATCTATTCCTGTTCCAGTGACCAAGCTGCAATAAAAAGCTGACAGAGATGTCAACCCTTCACACACTAAAGAAAAAAAAACTAACATCTTATGAAAGGTTTGATTGTATTACAAAGCTTTAGACTGCTTTCACACTCATTTGTTTTTTTTTCCATTTTTCTGTTGAAAAGAGGAAGAAAAACATGTGATTCCTATGGAATTCTTCACACTGATCCGTTGCGAGTCCAGTGCGTTTTTCATGCTTGCTGCATTTTTGGTGCAGGTTTGGTGAGGTGAAAAAAAAAAAATGCACATCCTCATTGAAATCAATAGAAAACACACAAAACCCCAAAAAAACACACCTGCATTGCGTTTTTTGTGTGTGTTTTTTTTAATCACATGTCCTTTAACCACTTACATACCGGGCACTTTTACCCCCTTCTTGCCCAGGCCAATTTTCAGGTTTCAGCGCTCTCACACTTTGAATGACAATTGCGCGGTCATACAACACTGTACACAAACTAAAATGTTATTTTGTTCACACAACTAGAGCTTTCTTTTGATGGTATTTAATCACCACTGGGGTTTTTATTTTTTGCTAAAATAACAAAAAAAGACCGAAAATTTTGAAAAAAAAATAAACGTTTCTTTATTTCTGTTATAAAAGTTTGCAAATAAATAATTGTTCTTCATAAATATAGGCCAAGATGTATTCTGCTACATGTCTTTGGTGAAAATAACCCAAATCAGTGTTTATTATTTCGTCTGTAGGAAAGTTATAGAGTTCACAAACTATCCCAACCACAGCACCACCTCCCTGGAGTTTGCATGTTCTCCCTGTGCCTGCGTGGGTTTCCTCCGGGTACTCCGGTTTCCTTCCACACTCCAAAGACATGCTGGTAGATTATTGGACCCTGTCTAAATTGGCCCTAATATGTGTATGGATGTAAGTTAGGGACCTTAGACTGTACACCCCTTGAGGGTTAGGGACTGATGTGAATGTACAATATATATGTAAAGCACTGTGTAAATTGACAGTGCTATATAAGTACCTGAAATAAATAAATAAATATATCTGAAAATTGATCAATCCTGAAGTACTGACAGCCAATCTAATTTCTTGAGGCCCAAAAATGTCAGAACAGTACAGATATCCCCAAAATGACCCCTTATTGCAAAGTAGAAAATCTGATGTATTTCATAAAAGGCATGGCGAGTTTTTTGGAGTTGTAATTTTTTTGTTTTAATTTTTCAGAAAATGAAAAAATAAAAAAAAATATCTTTTCACAATTTTTTTTTTTTACATACTGTCACCAGTGCAGTGCAGTGTCATCATATAACTGGTGTGGCGGTGATCAGGGACACTGACTGGTGACAGTGCGAAAAAAATAAATAAATTGATAATTGTTTTTCAATTTTTATTTTTTATTACATTTTTTTCTCTTTTTTTAAGGCTTTTATTTTCATATTACACTATGACCAAAGTAGTATAATGTTACCATAGTAACATTGTACTACTTTGGGGAAGTGATCAGTATTTTTCTTTTTTTACACAATTTGATTGCTTATAGCAAAGAATTTCTTTGTTATAAGCAAGCATTTAACTGAATGAAATTGGTTCATTCAGGTTGTTTGTTGTGATTAGCTGTGATTTGGCCACGACCAATCACATGACACAGATGGGCTGTAATTGACTTAGCCTGTGCATGTGATCACTGTGACCATTTATAGCTAGACACACTTGTATACAATGGATGACATGAAAGGAAGCCATCCATTGTATACAACTGTCATGTGACGTGCTGTGATTGGTCACAGCAGGTCACATGGTATTGGCAACGGGGCCAGTACACAGATCTGCCATCGGCCTTGTCCGAGGTACATGTCCAGTGACAGATCTCACCACAGCGTGGCCCTGTGGTTATGCGTAATGCCCGATCCAGGAAGGACTTTACATGACGCCTTCCCGGAGGGACGAGATGTTCGCCCGGCTGTCATATGACCATAGGCCGGGCGGCAAGTGGTTAAAAAATGCACCGCAAACACTGCAAAAATGCAGTCAAAATGTAGCAAAAACATATATGCATTTTTTACCTTATAGTTCAACCTCCAAATGGTGTCTAAATTAGATCACTCCAAAAACACCAATTAGAATAAATCATTGCGCCTCTGTACTTAAATATTGATATATATACTCTGATGGGTGCTGCTATTATATATCCAATAAAACTTATAACCACACTTTGTAATAAATAAATAAATAAAACCACAAATAATAGCGCAACCCTTGCACCAAATACATTAAATAAAATTCATTAAATAAATAAACTTAATAAAGTTACCGGTACTTAATGAAATAAATAAATAATCCACCACCGTGCATGTGCACAAATATAACATAAATTCAATTTTCATGAAGTCCATTCACAAAAGTCCATATATATTCAAATATGATCCTCAATAAATAAGTCATGGAATCTTCCTTCACCAATGTGATATCCAGTGCTTTAACACCCCATCAAAATACACTCTCACCAGAAACTGGTGATAAACCAGCATATCTGTGTCAAACCAGCACTCCAACGCTTAGTCTCAGCTTATGGATGTCCTCAATACTCCACAGTATGCATGTAGATAGAAAAAACACTCGCCATAGTGCAAATAACATTTAAAAATGTATTCCAATCAATTCCCCCCTTAACACCGCACTCACAATCAGTAATATATATAAACCAGCGTTTTGTAATATAAGAGCACAGAGCTCTCTATCCAGCATCTCACCAGCCTGCCTGCCTGCAACCAAGATGCCGTTGTTGCGATCAAGTGGTCGGGAGCTGAGAGCTGGCGTGCGTGGTGACGTCACTGGATAGCCACACCCTAACACGTTTCGTCCGACTTCTCCCTCGGAAGAAGTCGTATGACAAAATGCGTTAGGGTGTGGCTATCTGGTGATGTTACCACGCAAGCCAGCTCTCAGCTCCAGACCACGTGATCGCAACAACGCCATCTTGGTTGCAGGCTGGTGAGACGCTGGATAGAGAGCTCTGTGCTCTTGTATTACAAAACGCTGGTTTATATATTACTCATTGTGAGTGCGGTTTTAAGGGGGGAATTGATTGGACATGCATACAGTGGAGTATTGAGGATATCCATAAGCTGAGACTAAGCGGTGGAGTGCTGGTTTGACACAGATATGCTGGTTTATCACCAATTTCTGGTGAGTGTGTGTATTTTCATGGGGTATTAAAGCACTGGAGATCACATTGGTGAAGGAAGATTCCATGACTTCATTTATTGAAGATCATATTTGAATATATATGGACTTTTGTGAATGGACTTCATGAAAATTTAATTTATGCTATATTATTTGTGCACATGCACAGTGGTGGATTATTTACTTATTTCATTAAGTAACTTGATCAAGTTTATTTATTTATTTAATTTATTTGGTGCAAGAGTTGCGCTACTATTTGTGGTTTTATTTATTTATCACAAAGTGTGGTTATAAGTTATATATGCATTTTTGCCGTGTTTTTGTCACAGATCAATATGAAATTAGCCTTACACTTTCATTAACTTTCACAGGCCAAAAGGTACATTTCTGATTGGCTGCTGTGTCTTATTTGAGTTTCTACATTATTCTGACTCATTATATAAAGGCCTAAATGTGCCATCAGTGTGTATACACACCTCTCAACTTTTTTGAGATGGGAATGAGGGACACCTATTAGCAAATGTATGTAGGGTTAGGACACACCCCCTATCACGCTGCTTAAAGGAGAATTATACAAAAAAAAAGCCACAAGTGCTTTTTTTTTTTTACAACTACTATTCCTTTATACT